AAAAAAAAAAAAAAAAAATGAGAAGCAATTTTTAAGCAAGTTTTTCAGCAAAAGTGTGTGTGCATGTGAGAGAGAGAGTGGCAGAGTGCTTTCATGTTTGGTGGTGTTAAGGGAATTAAGTACTTAATCAGGTTTAAGGACATTTATACTCATCAAGTACAGTACTTCTTTCAGAAAATATACATTCTGTTAAAGAAGGTGAACCTTATTTGATAAATTCATTCTTTTGTTATCATGTATTTCACTTAACACTGAATCCTCAAAGATAAAAAGATTACCAAAATGAGACAGCAGGGAGAGAAATATGACACGGAAGTTTTGTTATGACTGCTCGTCTCAAAAGAGAGACCAGATTTTCATATTTAACAGCTCATGGAAATCAATCACTTTAAAAATAAAATGAAATAAAATGATAATAACTTTAAAATTCTGTTAATTGAATTTAAAAATGAACTTCTATGCAATTTGTACACTGAAATCTGAAAGGTGGATATTGTACTATATACACTAAGATGCTGTGCCAGACAATAAAACATATGTCATTTCAGGAAGACTACTTCAACAAACAGCGATGCAAGATATTATAAAGAATTTCAGGAGAAATTACAAAGCTTATGATATAGAAGGGTGGCTCATTTGGGGTCCATTGCTAAATTAAGTTAGACAAAATGCTGAATAAAGCAATATAAACTTATGTAAATTATATGTGATGGTAAATAGTAAATTATTATATAAGCCACTTAACCAACAGCAATTCCATCAGTTAACTGCTGCTGTGTCATTTCATGTCAATGCACACACACACAATCAGGATATGGTGCACATTGGTTCTGGCTGAAACTGATACAAGTGTTCAGCCAAAATCAGACTCTGAGTATTGATTTGAGATCTAATTAATTTGGAATGCTAGAAACTAAACAGCCAGTTTTCTCCTAAATTCTTAAGAACAAGTCCCTGCATTTTATATCTTTTAAATCCGGAATTACCAGAAATGTGATACATATTTCATTTTCTGTATGTTCCTCCCCTTCATTTCAACATGTACCCTTGAAGAACTGGGAGAAATGGAACTATTTCTGTGAGAGCCCTGGATGGACCCAAAGCCAGCATTGTGCCCAGCACATACCATTCGACGTCTCCTCCAGGGTACACTATTCTAGATGTGGATGCAAATGCAATGCTGTTTGTTGGTGGCCTGACTGGGCAATTAAAGGTAATGTGTTCATCCTCCTCCTGTTCTATTTCATCTTTTGACAACTCCTGACATGATTGCTTCAGGAGAAGGCATGATAAAGCTCTGTAAAACTTGACCATGTTTTACTTAACTTGCGTTTATGAAAACATGAATTTATTTTGAGTAAGAATTTTCTTCTTTGAATATTCAACCTGGAAACACAACATTTTTAAGCCTCTGTGTATTTATGTAAACAGCTGTTGTTTTGTCTTTATCTATGGCATCAGTTTTTTGTATATTCTTGTTTTAGTTGCCTCAAGAGCAAAGTGTTTTTTAAGTATACCTCATCTTCTGAATCAATTTATGATTTATAGATGTGAAGTGCTATAAAGTTCATACTCACATCTAATTAAACGATTCATGAATAGTTTGGGAAATATCACAGGAGCTATAAGCTTTCAAAACATGATCTGGTTTTTAACCAGATTTAACTGGTTTTCAGATTGCTCTTATTCTTATAGGGTGATGCATTTAATATTCATAATTGCTTCATGGCAGTCCTTGCTCATTTCAAATTGCAAAATGCCTGCCTTTTAAAGAAGCTTGTGTTGATTAAATGGATTAGGTGTTGGGAAACCACTGTGGGTGAGATGCAGGAGCACAACAAATATGCTGGATAATCCTGGGCTTGTCAGAATCACCCTGGGATGAGATTAGTCAGAAAATGTGAAAAGCAAGGATGACCTCAAATTTATGAGGACTCAACCTTCATACAGAATGAGGTTATTTTATTTGCTTTAAGTATGAGATGTGACTCTAAAGTATGAGAATTGATTCCAAAACCACATGCTAAACTTATCCTCATTTCTTAGAGCTTCATATAAATGTATATAGTACATAGTAATATATAGTCATGTTATCGACTTTCTCTTCTTCACAGATAGATAACTATAGGGATAGCACACAGTAGTACAAAAGCCATGAATTTTGAAATCAAATCCAGGATTTGAGTCCTCTCCTCTTCCACTTGCTAAAATATGACCTTAGGCAAGTCACTTAACCCCTTGGACTTTGGTTTTCTCAACTAGAAAAGAATGATAAAAATACCTACCTTGCTTGCATATTGTAGGATGCAATAATACACTTTTTAACATTCTTATAACTCTTCCTATATGCCAAGTAATGTTCTAAATAATTTACATGAACTCTTGTTTAATTTTGACAACAACCCTAAAAGATACGTCTTAGTTTGTTAAGGCTGCTATAAGAAAAATACCATGGAACCAAGTAGTTCATAAATAAACAAACATTTATTTCTCAGTTATTGAAGCTAAGAAGTCTGAGATCAAGGTACTGGCAGATTTGGTGTTTAGTGAGGGCCAGTTTTTCATAGAAGGAGCCTTCTGCTGTGTTCTCACATAGCAAAAGGAGTGAACAAGCTCCTTTGGACCTATTTTATAAGGGCGCTAATTCCATTCATGAAGGCCCTACCCTTCACCATCTAAAACTCACTTCTCAAATGCCCTGTCTCCTAATACTATCATCACTTTGGTGGGTAAGATTTTAACATATTAATTTTGGGAGGGACACAAACATTCACAGCATAGCAAAGTAGATACTAATATTCTCCTCGTTCTATAGTTAAGGAATCTGAAGAAGAGATATGTTAAATGTCTTGACCGTGGTCACACAGTAATTAGCAGAGCTGGGATTTAAACACAGGTTAATAGGCACAATGGTCTTCATTCTCAACATTTTGCTTCACTGCCACAATGAATAGTGAGATGGTGTGTAGAAAACGTACGGCAAATAGCTAAGATGTGGTAATCACATCTTAAATTGTACCTTAATAATTATTATGCAAATGTCATTGGTGCAAAAGCAGCATTCTGTCAGTCTCAGAAAAAGAAAGCAAGCATGAACAAATGTAATCTATAGAAAACCTGAAGAAATCATTTTGGCCAAGAATTACAAGGCTCCTGCCCCATCAGAATATGAACCAAAAGCTGAAAACAGCTAAACGAACTTGCTGATGAGCGTTCAAATAAGCAGGAAAATCTCTTAAATATAGCTTTTCAGGATTCAAGAAGAAGCAAAAAGCAAGTAGAATTCATAAGTAGGAAAATCAATCTCTAGAAAATTAAGAGGTTCAGACTGATGACAGAGCATGGCAAGGACCACTCCAATATGCAAGTCAGGGGCTGTGATCAACAATCTATGTGGCTATGCAACACGTGGTCACAGCAGTGGAAAGATGTACATGTTGATGGATATAACCTACAACTATAGCTACAAAATGTTAACTATTCAGTAAGTGTCTTCTTATGTGTGTTCTAAAAACCAAACGAGTCAATGCACTGTTTTTCCCAGATAATTCGAGTAAATATGGGTTCACTTTGGCACAGTTTTTAAAGTTATAGGCACCAAAATATAACATCACTGTGTCACTCAATAACAGGAATATGTTTTGAGAAAGATGGAATTCGGCAATTTCCTCAACGTTCAAACATCATAGAGCATACAGTACTTGCACAAATCTAGATAGTATAGCCTACTAAAGACCTAGGCTATGTGGTATAGCCTACTGCTCCAAGGCAACAGCGTGTTACTCCACTAAATACTGTAGGTAATTGTAATTCAATGGTTAGTATGTGTGTATCTAAACATAAACAAGGTACAGTAAAAATACAGTATTATAATTTTATGGAAGCACCATTATATATGTGATCTGTCATTTACCAAAACGTTTACGTCAATACCAAAAAAGTTGTTTAAATGTACAACCAACTTCTCTAGGAGGAAGCAAGTCATTCCCTGTCTTCATGATTTTGGTATGTATCAAGCCTAAGACCTTTCCTGTGAAAATGACACCAGGATTGAATTTGAACAGATTATTTATTGATTCTTTATTTGACTCCAGGCCCTGTGCTGTGTATACCAGCAAATGATGACAACATGGTCTCTTTTCATACAAAGTTGCTTTCTTTTTCTTCATTCTCTTGAATTTAAAATCTTCTTGGCTGTGAACAGAAATTTAAAAATTTAGAGCAGTACTATCATAGAGTGATTTATACAAGTGCTTTTAAAAAATCTCTTCTATGTCATCAGCATGTACCTTTCTTCTGATCTCAGGGGAAAAATCATTGAGTATGCATGGCCCAAATTTGCCCCCAAAAAAATGATGTAGGAGCACTAGTGCTTATTAAACTCCTTCTGTATGTCAGGCACTGAAATTGGTGCCATAAATAATCTAATTGTATTCTCACAACAATTTCGTGTTACAGACAAAAGAATAGAATTGTGGAGAAGGTTAGCAGCTCACCTAAAGTAAGAAGCTGGGAAGTGTTTATTTACCAATGATGAAAACCACCAGAGTGAAAAGTAATCAACATTCATTGATAAAATAACTGAGCTTTTCTTCTGTTGTTGACTCATCCTGGAGTAGTGCTAAGGATATATATATAATATGATGGAAAGACGAATATGTACAAATGGCAGCATATCAGGAAGAATGGATAATGATCACTTCAGCTTCTACTGATAATAACTCCCATGGATAAACCAAAATTACTTGTGAAACTCCAAATTCTAACAAATACGATATTTCTTTCTGCAGAAGGCTGATGCTGTACGTGTGATTACATTCACTGGCTGTATGGGAGAAACATACTTTGACAACAAACCTATAGGTTTGTGGAATTTCCGAGAAAAAGAAGGTGACTGCAAAGGATGTACTGTCAGGTTAGTTGAGATGAGATCTCTCCCCAGGGTCTGTTCTGTGCATAATAAAAGCTTCGATTTTATTGCATAATATTCTGTTATCATGTGGATGATGTGGAGCAGGTTTGAAATGATTATGCTCAGCGGTGGAATTACCACAAAACTAATGAATCTTCCAGTCCCTGCCTGCATTTGTGCAGGCATTTTCCAAGGCCCTGAGAGATATACTAGCAGTATATTTTCGTAGTCATATGTTTTTATAAAATTTGCAAAGGTAAGAGATTTTGACTATGATCAGTTAAGAGATTAGTCTCTTTGTACTCCAATGTCCCTTCGTGTCCAAGGGGTTTTTTGTGTCTGTGAGTATCGTGTTGTTATAATTTCTTTTTTCTTAAAGAGAATTTTCCCAAAACTGATTAAGTTTCAGGCCTTGCTGAGCATGAATTCACTCCATTTATGTTTATAAAAAAATTAGGACCCTATCCCAGGTTTTATCTCTTACAGGATTTTTTCAGTTGACACATGGGATCCTACAAGTGCTTCAAGTAGAAACCTATGGGATTTAAAGATTCTGCTTCAAGAGAGAACAAGGGGCCTAGATATTCCAGGAGGAAAGTGCCTAATACGTGTCCTCAATTATAAAATAGAGAGTAGAACAAATAGGAATTTGAAAATATTTAACATCCTATCATATTAAGCATATGTAAAGAATAAACATTTTTATATAAAAATGAACAGAGAATATAAAACATTTAGCTAGAAGTACAGGATTTATCAGCATGAAAATCTTAGAGCCCTCCCATCACCCAAGCCTAAAGCAATTTTATTATATTACGTTAAAACTAAAAAACATACTTTAAATACCTGCAAATTTAACATGTCATAACAGCAACTCAAAAAACATTAAGTGCTAAGGAGTTTGTGTTATTTTCAATTTAAAGGACATGCATACGTTTCTTCTAGGACCCAAATTCCCTACTAAAGAGTATACTTCACATTTCCTTCTCTACATTTCTAGAGTTTTATAGAAGAAAGTAGCCCCAAAATGTTATCTCTCTAGAAGTTTTCACTTCTAACTCTTTGTTTCTTTTTGACATCATGGACTTGTCAACTTGAAATTGAGGATAGTTTGCAAGCCTGACCCACTCCTCACTGTTTAAAATAGTTTTGTCAATAATCTTCAACAGCATCTAACATGGAAGATTGTCTGTAAAGTTCTTTCAATACATGAAAGACATTGACTCCCACATTAATATTCTACTACTCACAAACAAACACCAACTTTTCCCTAAGCATTTCTTTGGTAAATTTCTAAGTAGGATTTTCAAAAGCTTATTATCAACAAAACATCTAAGGCATTTAAATATCCATTTAGCAGTGCATGTCATGTGAGACTTTAACATCACTAATTATCAATTCTGCAAAGATTTTGTGCTTTCAACATATAAAGTATTATGCTAATTTATGATTATAATAGTACTCCTGTATATTCATAGGGTGTTTTGTAGGTTGCAGAGATTGATACTTACAACCTCCTGATACTAGAATGAATGCAGTCTAGTCCCAGCCATGAAGAGACATCACCAGGAGGGGAGGAAAAGCTAGTTTTTTTGTATTTTTAACGGAGACAGGGTTTCACCATATTATCCAGGCTCCTCTCAAATTTCTGACCTTGTGATCCACCCACCTCGACCCTGCAAAGTGCTGGGATTACAGGCATGAGCCACCACGCCACGCCAGTTGTATAAGATTTTAGTGGTTGGCCCAATCCTATTTTCTCAGAAGCCCTGTTACTTGTAAGAATAATTTTTATAGAACTCTTGGTGTTTGTTTATTTGTTGTTTTCAGGAAAACACTTATCACATTTGAACGTAAAGAGCAATCATTCCTACTAAAGAGCAAGAGTGATTTTATGGAGAAGACGTAAAAGATGAGGCTAAAAGAGGTAGACTAAGAAAATGTTGTAAAGACCTTAGAATGTCAGTTTCAGAAATCTGCATTTATTCAATAGTCAGTAGAAGAGATAAAATTGTTGTTATGCTTTAGAAAGAGTAATCTGACAAAGATATTTTTAAAAGTGTATCTTACTTTTCTCACACTTCTAAATTCACATTAAGATTAAAGCAAGGGAAAAAAGTTGCTATAAGTAAAATGTAGTTAGCTAAACATTGAAATGATGATATTTTAAATAGATTAAGACCCAACATTCACCTGGGTCTCATTGACTAGAGTTACATGTAGAAGAACATAGTTGCTCCAAAATAGCATAATTAATTTGTACTAACTTTACCGGACATCAAGGTTCAAAAGAGAAACAAAAGGCAAGTTAAGAAGCTTAGCATTTATTAATTATAAAAGAGTAGAGGTCTTTTGGTAAGTATATTCAGAATGAATAGGATAACTCTATTCTATTCTATGTCAAAACATTATAGAATATACCTGGAAGGACTCATATTTTTTCTCATCCCATAGTCTCCAATTCAAAGCCAGACCTACTTTGTTTCTCCAGGTGACAGCTAATGAACTAAGTGATGTTGACTGATCTACAGCTCTGTATTTAGCCACTCCCAACCCATAACTCTTTCCCCCAGATAACTCCACAATTGCTACAGCGTCAGACAGACAGGTAGATAGAGAGATAGGTAAAAATAGCCTCGTGTTTGGAAAAAGCATTTTAAATGTTGTATTCACAAGACTTATCTTATTATTCATCCAATATTGATTAAACATATATTCTCTGTGAGGCAATTTGCTATACTAAAATCTTTTTCATCCCACAAACATCAACTGGATTCTAGGATCCAAGTACTGTACTATATGTGCTAGATGCTGAGTTTGTGCCTGACATAGGACCTGGCCCATAGTCTCTTAAATAGTCTCATGAAATTTACATTCTAGTGAAGGAGACAGATAAAAAACCATACAAAAAAAATACAGGCCTCCTTCATTGTCTGAATCTAATTTGTTCCAGAAAAACTTGTTAGAAGGCAAGTATTCAGAGTAGGATCCTATATATAAGAAATTTAATAATGTCTTCTCAGCCCATCCAGAAACCCCACCACTTTGCCCAGATACCTCTAAGACACCCTTAAGCATCAATATAACTATCTACTACCAAGTACTCTGCAAAACATAAAGCACTAAAAACAGTAATGACCTAGTTATTGCACTCCTAATGAAAGGTGAAAGATGGTTTTTACTTAGCCTAGCATGGTGGCAGTAGAGGTGGAGATATGTGGAAGGAATGAAGATGTATTTAAGATACTTCCTGCCTTACAACAGCCTGCAATCTCATCACTATTCAATGATGCATTGAATAACGACAGACCAAATAGACATGACCTGATTCATGTGAAATGCCTCTCTTCTCAGTCCTCAGGTGGAAGATAGTGAGGGGACTATTCAATTCGATGGAGAAGGCTATGCATTGGTCAGCCGTCCCATTCGCTGGTACCCCAACATCTCCACTGTCATGTTCAAGTTCAGGACATTTTCGTCGAGTGCCCTTCTGATGTATCTTGCCACACGAGACCTGGTAAAGATCATATGCATAGCAGATCTTCTGTGATTGAAAATGTGTTTGCTTCTTTTATCCATTATCGGTAAAATTATCCATTATTTTTTTAAAAGTCTGGGGTGGCCATGTGACAACCAAGAATAGGTGATACAGATAGTGCTTATATATTTTCATTAATAACTTTAATCGCAGTTTCAATTTAATTACTATTTATTTTCAGTATAACTCTCCACATAATCCTTTAAGCAATGCACACAGTAATAATTTTTCCCAGCATGGAGCCATGCAGCATCAAAATGCTTCCTTTATCTTCTTTCAGAGGCATAAGTTGAAAAGGTGATTCTAAATATTCTTTGGCCTCATTTTTTTCTGGTCAGTATTTCTTAGTGAATTCTTTCAGGGAACATACCTTTTGGTTCACTTAATATGTTTTCAAAGGAACTCACATTTTACTACTGTAATAAAAGAGTATGTCTTAGAAATTTGTTTGTGACCATTTGGATCATAATATCACAGCCACAAAAATTCAGAAAATAGTAACACCAATTCTATTTTCAAAATGGATTCTGTAACAGGGCGACATATTCAGAATTTAGCCACAAGATCCTAATATAAACCCCGCAAAAAAAGCGAACACTCATATATTTCTCTGTGTATCTAATCACTGGTGTATGTTTACCCTATTAACAGAGAGATTTCATGAGTGTGGAGCTCACTGATGGGCACATAAAAGTCAGTTATGATCTGGGTTCGGGAATGGCTTCTGTTGTCAGCAATCAAAACCATAATGATGGGAAATGGAAATCATTCACCCTGTCAAGAATTCAAAAACAAGGTAAGTTTTTACAGTAATAATGCAATATGGGCCTTAATCATGCAATCCAAAGTGCACATGAACCTGATCAAGTGGAAGATTCTGTCTATAATTTTAGCTACTCACAAGTTCAGTGAAAAGTTGATACAGTCATTTTTTTTGGCCTAGATTATAGGTGATTTGGGTTCGACATGACTGATTGAAGAGCCAAATGGTTCTCTGTCATTTTCTTTTGAAACTGAGAGCTTAATTTGAAAGCATAAAACTGTCTTACAACTTGCAAAATTATATCCTGTAATATGTTTGAAAAATGTTGGGTGCTTTTCTTCCTATTTTGCCAAGATGTTTCCTTTAAAGCTGCCCACAGTAAAATCTGTAGGGGTGGTAGGACATAGTTATCAGTTTTTTGCTCATTTAAATTGCCAAACATTTGTATGCATGCAAGTAAATAATTGGTCAGTAGTAACAAGGCATGTTTATGGTTCTGGGACATTTTAAAATGCTTTCACAAACATTGTTTTATCTGATCACTTAGCAGGTATTTTGTTGCAATGTTAGAGAAAGTGAAATATACACTCAAACTTTTATGTGGTCACAGACATATTTATAAAAGATTTCCAAGTCAGAAATCCAAGCCTATTCGTTCCGAGTGTAGTGCTGTTTCTATTTAAGTATATAATTCCACTAATTCTGTGTACTATGGCATTACCAATATCTGCAAATGAAACTTTGTTACTTCTGCTAATATAAATAGGCCTAATTAATGTTGCCAATGCCAATGTGACATTTCATTAAAATTTAAATTTAACTTTGTACTGTCTTTCATTTCTGCATTTAACAAATATCTGCTAAGCACTTCTAAGTACCATGTAAGAACTAAATGAAGTTCTAAGTTCTTGCCTTCAAGGAACTTGTATCAAAATGGGAGACAGACAAGTACCAATGGTTAGAGGATAGAGAGCTAATTGCTGGATGTGTGTACCTGGCTAGCAATCTCAGAAGAGGGACACTTAAGTCAAACAGAGAGGTCAGTTTCCACTGGATTGCCCCTGAGTATAAGTTGGATGAGAAGTTACCTGGATGAAAAGCACTATGGACATTTTGGAGTAGTGAACATTGTGTGAAAGCCTGGAGTCATCAGAGAGCATAACATCCTTTTTCAACTGCATTTCCAACATGAAACTCTAGAGAAACTCCTCATGTGGGATACAAACTGGCTTTGCAATTTTTTATACTGGGGTGCTGCTGCATACATTTTTCCTGTGTAAGAGAAGCACAATGCACATTTGCGTATTAGAAGCTCTGTATAGTTGTTCAGTAAGAAGAATGTTTAACTGTTTAACCCAGAATTTCCCAGATTTCTTTAATCAGAGAAATCCTTCCATTCCTGTAATACTAGCATTCTGCTGAACACACTTTGGGAGATGCTTTAGTAACTACAAGTGAATCCATAGCCTACATGGATGAATGTTGGCAGAAAATTATCAGTAGGGGCCAAGAGATAACAGAACCAGTGTATAAGGGGGCATATGAGCTAAGCGAGTGACTTTCAACTTTATCCTGAAAACTATAGGGATACAGAGAACTCTAAGAGTTTTAAGAAAGGATGTGGTATCCTAAGATTTGTGCTTTGGTAAAGTTTTAGCAGCAGTTTTGAGATTTGTAACAATTTAGGATGCTACTGAGTCTGATGAGTCTAGCGTCTCCCCACTAAGTTCTCTTCTATAGTAATAGAATAACAGATTTGGAGAAAGAAGGAAAAGATGGATATGCATTATAAAAGAAAAAATGACAACCTAAATATCCATCAACAGATAACTGAGAAAAGAAAATGTGGTATATATACACCATGCCATACTCTGAAGCTATAAAAAAGAAGGAAATCATGTTTTTTGCAGCAACATGAGTGGAGTTGGAAGTAATTATTCTAAGTGAAATAACCCAGAAAGAGAAAATCAAATACCACATGTTCTCACTTACAAGTCAAGAAGCTGAACAATGGATACACATAGACATGAAGATGGAAACAATAGACACTGCAGACTCCAAAAGTGGGGAGGGAGGAGGAGGGGTGAAGGTTTAAAAATTGCCTATTGGGTAGTGTTCACTGTGTGGTGATGGGTTCACTAAAAGCCCATACTTCACTCTTATGCAATATATCCATGTAACAAACCTGCATATGCACCTCCAAATCTAAAATTTTAAAATAATAAAAATAAAAATAAAGACATTGAGAACTCTAGGCTGAATTGGCTAATGCTATAAACTCTAAAGATAATGATATGCTTGGTAAATGTACAGTGTAACCAACAGGGATAAAATGATTCAACAACTTAGGAGAACAACTTTTATAAATGGTCACCTTGGAAATGCTAATTTCCATAATCAGTCTGCTATCTCAACTTTTATTCTGTCCATTAAAACAAATAACCAAAAGATCTGTGCTCTGAATCGTTAGTCAACGGTCAAGTTACAGAATCATGTAAGTTTGAAAGTAGTTAAAAATATGTTTCAGGTTTATTGTAACTCCAACACTTCATCAATTCAGAAAGTTCTTCCCCCAATAAGTCTAATTTTTCCAGATTTTACTAGAGCTACTAACTGCTACCATCACTGTTACTACTCTGTATTCCAGAAATCAGAAATATCTTCTGTCCCATTTCTGGTTTCTAGTTCAATCCCTTTGACACAGTTGGCTGATATCCTTTCATTTGTAAGTCTTCTCCTTGGCCTTCAAATTGACTCTAGACTCACATTGCTTTTCGCCTTTCTGAATATTCCTGTCCAATGCACCAAGCAGTCATTCTCATTTTTCTTTTGGGTATTAATGGCATGAATCATTCTCCTTTCTTCTCTAATATATCTCTGTGGTGTCGCCATTAAAAAGAAATTCAGCTTTATGAGGTTCAGTTGTTCAGAATTTTGATTCTCAAATTAGATGGGGAACTTCTGCCTTCTCCTGCCCATTGTTGTTTCCCATTCCCTGTCATGTCTGGTGTGTGAGAGAGATGCATCACCAGAGAAGAAACTTCTCAAAAATACATGTAATAAAACTATAGCTGTTTTTTCACTTGTATTCGCACATATCCAATATATTTTCTCTGATACTTAATTTTTCCTTATAAAAAGAAAACCATTTGGGAAACCACATTGGAAAAAGCAAGTGTTATAAACAAATAATTCACAAAAGAAAAATGGAGACTTCTTATATAAAGTTGAAAAATTCAATCTCAATAGATTACAAGCATCTGGTCCTTGACCTGCAGTAGCAATATCCAGAGATCACACTTAAAGCAGTGAAATCTAAATTTAAAAGGAAGAGAAGAAAGGCTTGGCAAAATAACCTTACTACCTGCTTTGATAAGATTAGCTCTTCTAGGACACATTTATTAAATACGAACTATGCATCAGCTGCTGTGCTGGATCATTGAAGATGCATACAGTTCCTACCCTTGAATAACTTACCTGCTGCACAAGTAAGCAAATTCTGTAGGATACAGTAAACACCAAGGGAGACACTATGGAGGGAGAGAACTAAGGCACTAACTGAGCCCTAAGGCCTTTTTTTGGTTGGGGGTGGGGGGATAGGTAGGAGGGGTGGAAGCAGTTGCAGAACGATCCAGGCCAAAAAGCATCATATGAAAAGATAAAATGTATAAAAATATGGATTATTTGGGCTGATGTTGTAAATAGTTTGAATTACTGGAGTTTACATTTCAAAGGAGTGATAATAGACAGCGCTGAGCATGTTGGCAAGAGGGCCAGATCACAGGAAGCTGTTTAAACTATGTTGAAGAGTTTGCAGTTCATCTTAATAAACTTGATTTTAAGTAGAGATGTGACAGGGTAATTTCAATTTAAGTATATTAGTGTCAGTGTGGAAGATGTATTTTCAGAAGACCAAACTGAAGACAAAGTGAACAATTAGCTTCAATAATAGTCTAGGCAGGAGGTAAATGATGCTTGAAGTAAGAGTTGCAGTGGGAGTTGACATCAAAGAAATGCAAAATAAATCCAACATGTGATACCACTGCACAGTGATTAGAATGTCTAAAATTAAAAAGACTCACCACATCCAGTGCTGCCAGAAGGTGGAGCCACTGGAGCTCATACCCTGCTGCTGAGGACATAAAGTGGCATAACGCTGGAAAAGATTGGCCATTTCTTAAAAGACTAAATATATACCTTCCATACAAACCAGTCATTTCACTCCTATTCACCCAAGACACATGAAAGCATATTTTTATACAAAGACTTGTACTAGAATGCTCACATTACTTTTATCTGTGTTACTCAAAAACTAAAAACAACTCAAATATCCATCAGCAGGTAAATAGATACACATAAATTGTGGTATACCCATGCAATGGAATACTACTCAGCAGTAAAGAAAATATTAATATATGTACAAATTTGATGAATATCCAAATAGGTAGACAAAAAAGAGTACATTTGTATAGAATTACATAGAAAATACATATAAACTTGAGTTTGCCCAGATGGCTAAAGCCTGAGATGTGGCCAAAGGAAGGGACATTAGAAAACATCAACATTTTAAAAGTGTTCAAAAACAGATCTCAGGGTAGGAGATTGAGGATGAAAGCTCAAATAAGCCAAAGAGCTTGACGTTTTGCAAGCCAGAAGAAATTTCCTGTAAGGAAGGAAACGATAACAGCATTAAATACTGCATAAACATGGATGAAGATAAATATTCAAAGGACTCCACTGAGTTTGGATATAGGGAAGTCCCTATGGACTTTTAGCAAGACCAGAGTCACAGAATAGTGGGAAAGGAATTGAAATAAGGCTCCAGCAATGTGGATCATTGCTCCTTTTCACTGACCAGGTTACTTGTTTTACATGAATTATTCTCAGCTAGTTGGTAAAAGCACTGTCCCTTGAAGTTCAAGTACAGTCCTTCAGGATGGTGTTCCCCGTCTTCCTTGAGTTATTTACACAACCACAGTGACTGATAGAAGTGTGCCCTTTCCCCCGAATGCATTGATATGGAATCAAAGTTGAGAACACTCAGTTAGATTTCCAGTGGATCAAGAAAGAGGAAAAAAGAATAACCAAAGTAAAAAAACCATTAGCTTATATCAACTCAGGATTGATTATAAATTATTTGTTAAGCCCCTACTCTGTGTCTATTATTTAATAAAACCTTTATTTCCCTCTCTACTTATAAATCACGTCTGAACTCATCAACTATAAAATTTTGTGTTAATAGCCTACTTTTCTATTCTGTAAAGAAAAGAAATAGGGCAAGAAATAAAAGCAAGCATTAGCATTTCCTGGTAGAGCCCATTTCATCGCTGTCACTCATGAAGGACACAGTAAAGCCATTCCTTTAAGTCAGTAGAAATATGCCATCCTGTCTCTCTGCCAAAGTTACCTCGTGGGCCAGTGAATTTCAATCCAATTGTGTTTCTGCTCTTTAATCATTTTTTCTTAGAATGATTTCTAAAAATGCATATATTCATTCATGGATAAGGAGGAAAACTACCTTCAGTCACTGGCTTGCCTGTGATAGAGAGACAGAATCTCATTTTCAGACACCATTAAAATACGGACCAGGTCTGCAGAAAGAGACTATTTTCATCTTCCAGTCAACAGCCCCATATGAAAATGTCTTTGCTGATCTAGATAAAAAGAAATATGTATGAAAAAGTCTTGAAAACAGTTGTATAAATCTATTTTCTTTTAGCCACCAGACCAGTCAAGGAGATATATGTATATGAAACTAATTATGTATATAAAAATAATAAAATATGTGTGTGAAAGTAATCCCATTTTAAAATCTTAACTTGCTAACTATATTTAATAGGACAATTATTCTTTTAGGTATTTTTCTTGTTTGTTTTCACAAAAGTCTGGTTTGAGGTGTTTATTCATTTGTGTATTTGATTTTGGTCCTTTTTAAATAAGGCATTGTATTTGACTTTATTGAAGATATATTTTTTTGAAATAATAGGGCTATAAACTTCAAGGGAATTTTGGAATTTGATGTTTCTCTGTGTTTTCCAAAGAACGCTGATTCTGAAAGATGATGGGTTGAATGAAAATAATAACATTTCATGGTCAAATAAATTTGGGAGATATTTTTGTTCTATGTCCTTCTTTTGGAGCATTGCATTGCATATTAGGATGCTGAAAGATCTGGGCAGCCACAAAATTAAGAAGATATATGTTTACCTTTGTATAACCCAGTATTTATCATATTTATTTAAGCCAGAAACATCTAAGAACTAGCATCCTAAAAATTAAACACTTGCAAATTCCCTTATAACCCATTGATTCAAATGCCCATTTTCCAATGTTTGCAAATTCAGATCCTACATCAGGCAAAGATTTAGAGGCCAAATCTATCACCTCAAGAAACTGATGTCAATATGCATCAAAGATGCATATGAAGTAAAGGCTGAGTCTAAAGAAATATAGAAAAGTATGTAATTCAGAAAAAGCCTAGCTTGACCCCTAAGAAGGGGGTGATAGTGAGAGGGATCAACGAGATCCCCTGCATTCTAAACAATGCAGTTTGAACAGAGATGTGCCTCTTCTTTCCTTTTTTCTTTCTATTTCTGAATTCTTATCTCCGTCGCATTAAAAATACTTTGAGAGACCCAAGAGAAAAGCCATAAGGCATGAGGACTGTACCTCTGTCACAACGCTTAGCATCCCAATCTAAAATGTAATTTACAGTGGACCTGGATCCCACCACTTCCCTGTACATCATCCCCTTCCACTTCCATGTACAACCATATTTTACAACAGTAACATTTTGCGGATGAGTCTAAATCCCAGTAGCTCCTGTGGATAGTGAAACATACAGAAAGAGCCAGCATGTTTCTGATTAATTATCTGATTCCTAATTAGATATCTGTTATTTAGCATGTTTTAATCTTCCTTTATTTTCCAGCTACTTATCTAGATTATAGAAAACTACATCAAATGGATCTTTGATGTCCATTTAAATTCATCTCTTTTATCTTCATTGGTTTGACTTCATTGGTGTTCAATCTATTATTTTCACGCTCTTTGGGGGATAGTTTAATCATGTATTTTATTGATGTTTTTGTTTCTGTAATTATTAAATTGCTAAATATAGTACAAATGCTTGAGAAAGTCAATGTGAATTCTAGAATTAAATCAAATTTGTCTTGAAATATTAGTGATGATATAGATGTGGTTGATATCACTCAAATAAAATGTTAAACTTTCTATCTCCTTTATAGCCAATATATCAATTGTAGATATAGATACCAATCAGGAGGAGAACATAGCAACTTCATCTTCTGGAAACAACTTTGGTCTTGACTTGAAAGCAGATGACAAAATATATTTTGGTGGCCTGCCAACGCTGAGAAACTTGAGGTAATTTAGTTTACATGTAAAGCTAAGGATTAAGTTTTAATTAAATGACCGCTGTGTTCACTAGAGTTCTGAAGTTTAATTACAATAGGAATGTCATATAACCCCTGGTTACAGAAAGGCCTGCTCAAAAAAAAAAAATCATGTTGCATGTTAGAACAACACCAGGATTTAGAAACTAAAGGAGTAATTCGACATCTGTATTGAAGAGATGGATTGGAGTTGCTGTTTCCTTTATATGCACCTGCTGAAAAGAATTATGAAAGTAATTAAAGGTAGAGTCCAGAGTTGAATGTGGATCCTGTAATTGCTGTTCTCCTTGTACATTCACTAGAGATAATGGCACTCTGACATTGCTTAGTATTCTGAAAATTAGTCAGTGTTCCAGGATACTATAACCTATCTTATTGCCTAGCATTAGCATCATAATGGCATATTGGAGCTTTCCCATATGCCTAACACAAGAACTATATTGGTTGTTCTCATGCCCATGCCAACATTTTTTTCTTAATTTCACATATGCATTTTAGCTAGCAGTACAGGGAGACACATTTGCTTCCTAATTTAGTTAGTTCAAAAAATAAAGTAACAAAAAAATGTCAGAAAATTCTCACATGCCACTTAGTTAATTTACTGCTCGTTATAAAACAGAAGATAGTCTATATGGATGGTACTTAGTGCTCAATAAATGTTAACTAGACTCTAATTATAATGGGATTAATTGATTTGGTTAAACTATAAGAGTTTATTACAAACTACCATGTTTTTAATTTCTTGTTTCGCTTAATTAGTTTGGTAGTTTTTAAAGGATGTAAAAGTTCTGTCTAGGTGTTTCTACTCCAAAAAGACAGATTATGTTTTGAAAAACCCCAGAGTATCTGAAAAGTATGTTGATCAGTTATTTTCATATTTCCCAAATGAGCAGTGAAAATTCAGTCTCATTCTATGACAGCTAGTGTGCAGGCTAAAATTTCTTCTCCCCAAATCTAAACTCATAGATGAAGCAACTGTCTAATTATCTCATGAGCTTCATAGTGTAAATAAATTGATCTTCATTCATTGTAATGTGTTTCTATTAGAAAAGAAATAGATTTAAAGTGCCAAGTCAGAAAAACATTACATTTGAATAGTACCACAGCTATTACCTAGAAATTCATTTACCAGATGACTAGTCATTAAGCAAATGTTTCTTGAGTATCTACTGTGTGACAGGCTCCATACTAAATACTAGGAATCCAGTGGTTGTTCAAATCCAAGATTTACTTTACAAGATTATTAACTATATAGTATTGAGTGAATTAAATACAGCCAAACTAAGGTTATTTAAATCTAGCTTCGTTTATTCTAGTGAAGATTTTAATTATCATAAAGTGATTTTTGGAATTATCTATAAAGGTGTATCTGTTAAAGTCTGTAAAATCTGTTAAAATCTGTAAAATCTGTATGTGTTAAATGAATCTTTATCACTAAAATGTTTTTACTTTCATGGTACAGCATTACATAATTACAGTATATTTCTATAGTGTGGCATATTATTTCAAAACAACCTTTAGAGGTATATTTGTGATTGATAAAGAAACCAAACATTCATAGTTACCTGTTATTTTGCCTGCAGACAGGTCCTCAATATGACAAAGTGCAAAAGACATGGCAAACATAAATTATTTTTATATGCATTGTTAAGCTCAAGCTCTTTGAGAGGCAATGTTTATAAGCCATTCATGAATACTACAGAATAGTGACATAGTACATTTTCCCCATTTCTTAGATTGATAAGAACAAGTACTTTAAATTCATATTTCAAAATAAAAATTTTCCAAGATAATAGTGTGAGTTGTGGTCATATTTCAGTTCTAATTTCACTGCAGTCAAGGGTATGTGACTATTTTTAGTTCTGTTGGGGCTTCTGCATTTCTTTCCTTTGTAGATCCCTATGAAATGATTTTTAAAAGATTTATGATTAAAGTTTATTGTTTTATTAAATGAAAATGTAATTAAAAGTAAATTGTTGTTTTTTTTTATCTTTCCCGTTACCTAGTATGAAAGCAAGGTAAAATTTAAATTTATGCATGCCTTCTTCCAGTGCATGGGTTGGGTAAATGTGGCTTCTTAGATAAAGCAGTCGTGCAGAAGCAGAGCAACACCAGTGCAGCTTTGTTCATAGTATGTTTCACGAGCAAGCCATGCATTCTGTGAGAGTTCTCACGCTGCCCCTTGCTGGCCAACGTTCTGCTGCTTACCCGCCACCAATTGGGCTGCAAGTTGAGTTGTCTCACCAGCAATGATGATAGATTTGCTCTGCTCACTTGTTCCACCATCTGCGCACAGTGCCCCTGGTGACCAGCAGCACACACTCAAAAGGCAGCTGGTCGATTTCTGGTACACAGTCTAGTTCTGGGGAACACAGTAAAGTGGTCTCTTGGGTTGAAACCTGGGCTCTGGCCTCCCTAGTACCATGCTGTCTGCTGAAGAATCAAACTGTGCTCTCACATGCTTACCACTGCCTTCTTGCTTTTTGCAGGCCTGCAGATATGCAAACATTTACACAGCCTTTGCACCTCTTGTCAAAGCTGTTTATCTATTGATACGTTTATTTAAAACTAGCTATGGTGCCAGATGAAGGAATCTCTGGAAATACTATATTTAAAATAAGTATTTGCATGAATAGTAAAGAAGTATGAGATAGTTCTCCTAGCTTCTCGGGAGCATTTTAATTCTTACTTGCATTAGCATAAAAGCTGTGAGCAGCAAGCCTCCATAAATGGCTAACCAAACCCCAGAGACGTGCAGGGCTGGCATGCTCTGGCTAGAGCTAAAGCCTGGTGTTTTGGCATGTCAGAGCCCAGCTGTGCCAAATTTCTGGAAAGAAGATAATAAAGCCAAACTGATCCAAGAAATTTTTAAAACTAAGGCTAGCTTTTCAATAGGAGAAATAGAATATACAAAAATGAAAGTAGGGAAAAAATAAACCATGTGTTTTATCATGATACAGTTTTCAGACCACCAGTTGTGCTATGTTTGCTGAGATGGCTAAAAAGCAAAGGCTGGCTTTCATGGAAATATATATTGGAGAGCACTCTGTAGCTTTGTCATTTTGTCTTTGAGTGGTGACCCTCAAGAAACAGACCGGTGGTTACCACTGAGTCCAGTCACCTTATGTGTCTATTTATCCCCTGTGATTGTCCTAATATTGAGGTTACTAAATCATATTGTGGAATGGTTCTTTGTGTTTCCACAAAGCAATGAACTACATAACTTGTAGGTATGATTTACTTTATTAACAACACCTCTGAAAAAAACTGTGATTAGTCAGTCTTTCCATAAAGGAAAATATAGAAGCAAGTGAACACTCACTGTTAAGGAAGTTCACCATTTCCTTTGCATTATACAAGAAAAATATAAATGAGATTCTCACCCTCAAGTTGGGCAAGTTCTTCATAATAAAATACTGACTGAACAAAAACAAAACCTTGGGAACAAGAAAAAATTATCAATGAAAATAAAGAAATCCCAGAAAGGAGTAGGGGCTGGAAACAGACAGATACCTGATATGAAATAAGTCACCTGATATACACTGCCAAGGTCTAATTTGTTTCTCCACCTGTTTTTCCTCATGCCATGTGTTTTTCATTAAGATAAAAAAGGGAACTTGGCATCATGGGACAATGAGGAGAGAATTAATCATCACCCTATCAAGTACAATATATTGGTGCCAATGCTGATTAATGCCACATAAAGAATTATCTTTTTACTCCTATATACTTTCACTGTTCAGTATAGTACCCACAAGTCACAGTAGCTATTTACCTATAAATTAAATACAATTAAGTAGCAATAAATATTCAGTTTCTTGTTGGAACAAGCTATATTTCATGTCCCAATAGCCACATGTGACTAGTAACTACTGATTTGGACAGTGCAGAACAGACAATATCCGTCATCACAGAAAGTTCTGTGGAACAGCGCTGTTATAATTAAAGAAGTATCAACGTCATTGACATTCTGCTAGCCTTTGTTCATTGAGCAATTACTGTGTGCAAGGCTGTTCCTTAATTTAGTAAACCTGCACAACTTGATCATGTAGATACTGTGATTATTATTATCATGCCCATTTCACATACAACAACACAGAGTCCTGGAGAAATCAGATCACTTACAACATCTGGACTCAAGGGCAAGGACTTCATTTTCTAATCTGCTGGCACATTTGCCACATTTTATGAAGTAGTGTGCAAAAGTAAACATTAATGTGTAGTTTGAGTGTAAAAGTCGTTTTTCAATTTGATTGAAAAAATGAAATGTATGGGTTTTTGCATTTGGTTGCTTTATTTTGTTATTGTTCTAATACGGATTACAGACTTCGATGTCAATTCATAAAATAAACTAATCTGTAAAAAAAAAAAAAAAAAAAAAAAAAAAAAAAAAAAAAAAAAAAAAAAAAAAAAAAAAAAAAAAAAAAAAAAAACTTTTTTTAAAATTTTGCGACAGGGATCTCACTGTGTTACCCAGACTGGGGTGCAGTGGCATGGTCATAACTCACTGCAGCCTCAGCCTCCTGGGCACAAAAGATCCTCCCTCCTCAGCATCTCCAAGTAGCTGGGAGTCTAGGCACATACCAACATGCCCAGCTAATTTATTTTTGGGGTGGAGGGCAAAGACAAGGTCTCACTGTGTTGCTTGGGCTGGTCTTGAACTCCTGGCTTCAAGTGATCTTCCCTCTTCAGCCTCCCAAAATGCAGGGATTACAGGCATGAACCACTATACCCGATCACTAAACTTAATTTTTAAACATCTGTTTTCAGACTATTTAATCCAAAAGAGTGTTGCTTAGACTTTATTTTACTTAAAAGCCTTAAAAAATATGTAATATTATTTTTCAGCTATCTCCCAAGAAAAAAGCCTCAATTTAAAAAATCTTTTTCAAAATAAACATTTTCAGATTTTTTTTTCTAACTTTTGAGCAATACAAACTTTTTGGCACATGGTTTATTTATGCTGCCTATGCAGTTATGTTCTCTTTGGTGAAAAAAAAAAGAAAACTTAATTCATTACACATATAAAGCATTAATAAGAAGTCAGTTAATTCCTGTACCTCATGTTTAAATGCTGTGGGTGAGATTATTGTCAAAGGGGAGAAGAAGAACTACAAAAAGACTCCTTCTACAGGATAGTATTTACATCCAATTAGACCAACCAGTAGATAACGGAAACAGAGTTTGCTGGGTATAGGTGTGCACAGTTTGATAGACATGTGTCTGCATGTGTCTGCTCCATAAGGCTTCCTTCCAGTAGTCAGAGACTACACTACCATCACCCTGATGATATTGCTTTTGCTTTCCATTTGACTATTCAATAGGCCAGAAGTAAATTTGAAGAAATATTCCGGCTGCCTCAAAGATATTGAAATTTCAAGAACTCCATACAATATACTCAGTAGTCCCGATTATGTTGGTGTTACCAAAGGATGTACCCTGGAGGTTGGTCTGTTTTTGATGATTCTCTAAATACATTTATGTCAGATTTCACTTACTTAGTGTGGCTGCTTCTACAAGGATCAGTCTTTTGTTAATATATTTTAGATTTCTACTCATCCTACTCTTAAACGATAAAGCAAGATTAACATATTTTCTAAATTATGATGATAGAAATGGTATTATGAAGTCTCAGAATTGTGATCCAATTTTTGAAATGTATACTCTTCATAGCACATATCATTAATATTAATCTCTTTTCTGTTTCTCTCTTTATTTCCAACCCTACTTTTCTCTTTTCCTCATTTTTGGCATCCATTTTAGATTTATTTTACCTTTATTGTGTTGCATATACCTCTATTAGCAACCTTACATTTTTTCCTGGAACCATTCGAGTTTACACAAATAGCAAGTGGTAATTTACACTGTAACCATTAGCGCACAGCATATTGTCCACAACCTCGAAGTCTAGCTCCCTTGTCTGTGAAATAACATAGACTGGGACCTGCGGCATCCAATTCTGCAAAGACTTGTGTATGACATGCTGCAAAGTCCTTTGTTAGCTGATATCCTCAGTATCTCTTATTTGATGCTAAACATCCTAGCATTCCCCTATTTTCATTTAACTATTTTGCACTATTTCTTCTGTTGACACTGACCCATATGTGAGAAAGACCCAGGTCATAGCTCTACACTTAAAATATCTATAACCAAGAGTCAATAGTCAACAGCAAATATTAGTGAGAATTTTATAGAAACTCAATAGTGATGAACTTGTTTTTAGAATGAAAATGTTAAATATATCATTCTCATACATTTTTAATTATTCTACTGTAATACAAGTATTCATTTTGGCTGCTGCTTCTAATTAAAATTATCTTAAACCACTCCAATAGAATTCAGGGAAATGAAGGGAAAATGTGAGTGAAGGAAAAAGTGAGTCCAGCACTTGAATGATGAGGTTTAAAGACTGGAACAGAACTTTCAGGGTCTTCATTGCTCATACCTACAGACCCCAGTTTGGAATAGGCCATAGACACCCACTCTGAGAAGTCTGGGAATAATAAAAGGAAAATATATTAAGAATGAAAACTCTAAGGACCCATACTGGCCTCTTAAGAAAGTTTTACTGCAAGTTTTAATCTTCAAAGCCTAACTCTCATTCACATTCAAAAGATATATACATGAAGACGGAAACTGTCCAGAAAATGAATAGCCTCTGCACGTGGAAATTATGATTCTGTAAAGGCACTTTTCAGTAACCAGAAATTATTTTGCAACTAAAATATGAGGCAGAAATTTGATGTGGATAGATATTGAAAAGTCTGCACAGTAGTTTTATCTGAACTATCTAAAACTCCATGGTTTGAAAATTGGAATAGAAAATAGATTATATATTTTACCAACTCTTGTGTCATTTAACTGATCTTGAAACACTGTGGGAGGAAAATAGCCTACCGTAAAGAAGTCCTTGCTTTTACTCCAACAAAATCTAGGACTTTAAAAATGAGTACTTTAAGCACTTTCAATTCCTAACTACATGGGCTTGCTTAAATAAATGCTAGGACATTCATAGAGTAAAAAGTCCTCCTGCGTTTAAAAGTGATGATCTACGTTCACTGACAGAGTGATATCCTCCACATATGTAAGGAAAAAAAAATACACTAGAAATAAACATGTCTATCAGATTCATTTTAAATATAGAGAGGAGGAGAGAGGATGGGGGCAAGGCTGAGAAAAAATGAAAGAAAAGAAAAGGAAGGAAGGAAGGA